TTGCACTCAAGTTCTGGTCTCAGAGTCTGCTTCTTGGAGCAAACAACCTACATCAGTTACCTTGTTCTATATTCATCACTACCCCAGTGGCCAAATAATAGCAGCCCCACTTAACAGTGAAGAAATTGAGGTCCAAGGATTACCCGACTCATTCATAGGGGTAGAGTCCATATCAGCCAGCCTAAGTGGCTCAGAATCAATGATTTCTCCACAATACTCCCTGAGTAAACAAGTGGTTTTGTGGTGTGTCATCACACCGATTCTGACTTAGGGCCCCCCAGGGTTTCCCAGGTTGTAATCATTATGGAAATAGATCACCAGGTCGGTATCTCATGGAGAGCTTGCTTGGGTTTGAACCACTGACTTTTCAGTTAGCAACCAAGTGCTTAACTCTTGTGCCACCAGGGTTCCTTAAACATAGATGAAGGAGCTTCAGAGAGTTCAAGGAAATCTGGAATTAAGAGATAATGTAAAAATTTCATGATCTTTTTGAAGCCCCCTTATACATATATATATGTATTTGATGGAAAATAAACCATCGTGGTGGTGGTGTGCCATAGAGACGGGTCCGAGTCCTAGCACCCTGCATAGGGTTTCTGAGGCAGTAAAGCTTTACTGTAGCAGAAAGCTTCCTTTTTCTCCCATGGAATGGCTGGTAGTTATGAAGTGCTGACTTTGAGGTTAGCAGCCCAACTCGTAACCACTATGCTCGTGGGGGCCAGGAATAAAGTGCCATAGATGAGAAATCATAAAACAAATACTATTAATACAAATACAAAACATTCATTTTTTACTTGGATCTACAATCAAAACTCATGGACGAAGCTGTAAAGAAATCAAAAGATGTATTGCATTGGGTAAATCCCTTTAAGGTGGTAAAAAGCAAAGGTATCAGTTTGAGGACTAAGGCACACTTGACACCATATGCATGTGAAGGCTGGACTACGAATAAGGTAGGCTGGCGAGAAACGGATGCCTTTGAATTATGAGTACTTGGAGTAGTGTGCGTGTTGTTGTTGTTAAGTGCCGTTGAGTCAGTTCTGACCCATAGCGACCCTGTACAGGGTTTCCAAGGGTGTAAATCTTTACGGGAGTAGAAAGCCTCATCTTTCTCCCGC